AGTTATTTTCTGTGTGGGTTTTTTTCATAGCAGGACTTTCTGTTCATATATTGTATCTATCTAATCGTTGAAGGTAGAGAATAAATCCTGGGATTAAGTTGTGGCAAGATTTAGTGAACTTTTGTGTGATTGGACCCAGAAATACGTCACAACTTAAAAAAATAAAATAAAAAGTGGTTTCTGCTTAATTTATAGACAAGAAGTTCTTGAATCAGACATAGAATGTGAGCTTGCTGATGTCAACCAGTTTGCAAATCCTGCATTATTAGATGAATATWTAAAGCAGTTGGGTATCCAGTGCGCTATTGGTATACATGCATGGAGGTCTGGTTGTCTGCTTTGGGGTAGGTATTGAATTATTATAGCCTATCTATTCTTTATCAAATTATATCAGGGTCTATATTTTAGAGTTGGGAAATGGAATAGCCTGAATTAAAAGCTGGGATAAAAGTTCCAAGAACAAAAGTAAGGGCATTTTAATCTTGAAGAATTTTTAAGACTTTTWAAAAAATTAGCTTTTAAGAGTTGAGGTTTTTGGGTACTTAAATGAGATACTGGTAATTATTTAGAGGGTTTTTTGGGGGGAAGGGGTAAAATAGTGTGGTGTGGGTCACCAATTATTTATGCAGAGAGAAAGGGGGAAATAGAACAAATTGCACCTTATGAAAAGCTTAAGGAGGGACACATGGCATACGTCCCACTAGTAATATTGCACCAGCCCTCACCCTCTATATAATAAATTCTATATATTGTATTATTTTATAAGATAACACAAATATATAAAATGTTGCACTTTTGCCAATATGCAAATGATTAATAGTAATCATCATAGATTATATATATAATAATAATATAGCCTAATGGTTTCAGGAGGCCTCATTGCCATCAGTGATTTAAACGTATTGCATTCCCCCCCCCCCCTTCCCCCCATATATCTTTGTACATATTCAGCTAAAAAAATTTAAAAAAATTTAAAAAATTATTTTTCAGATTGTTGTGTGCCATACTGCATAGTGTTTGGTGGAACAGATATAAATGTACATTATCGTGATGAATGTCATATGAAAGCCATGACAAAAGCACTTGCAAATGCAAGGTAATGGTTAGAAGCTGTTCTTGCAATGTTGAAAAAAATTTGATTCAAACAAATATCTTCATTATATCTATGGGAATGGTTTTGAGTTTAATTATTTCTTTATAACTTACCTCAACAGGTATCTCATAGCATTTAGCAGAGCAATGATGGAGCAGGCAATCAAGTTATGGGTAGGATATATTTTGAATAATATGCAGCTACGGTTGATCAGAGGTTGATAGGTATTCCCCTTGAATCAAGGGTTTTTCTCCAGGTTCTTCACTCCCCCCCCCCCCCCCCCCCC